AGATGCCGGAGTTGGGTTCGAACCACGGGCCTTTCGGAAAATAAGTTCGCGTCTTGACCACTAAGCTGTTTCGAGCTCGTGTTGAAACGATTTCGATTTTTCAAGTAGCTTCGAGTAAGAAGCGGTCAACCTTTCGCCCGTGGGAAAGCCAGCGATGCTAGTCCGTACTAAATTTTGTCAGTACCATGGGGCTATTGAAGGTGTAGGAAGATCAGACATTTCACGCTAGCAAGAAACAAACAGTGGGCCATGCGATTCCCAAAGGACCCTTGTTTAGACTCTGGTAACCTTAAATCAGTTCAGATGCGGTATTTCCATGACAGTCATGTACTGCACCGATTTTTCGATCTGACACCATCACACGCACTGGCTTACCTTCATTGCAATATTTGGAGCTGCCGTCCTAGCAGGCGATTGAAGCTCTGAGCCGGGCCGAGAGAAGGCTAGTTTCTAAACGACCTGAAACCTATCCGTAGTCCACAGCTAACTGCGCTCTCGTCTGCGGCAATCCCTCAAGTCGTGAACTTCAAGATCTCGAAAAATAAACACTAAACGTTCTACCAAGCAAAACGTTGTGGGATTCTATTGACGATGCACCGCTACTACTTAGTGGAGGTCTAGCGCCTTCTTCCTCTACGGTGGCCTTTCTCATGGGATTGAGATAAAGCTGGTCATCATCATCATCATCATCACGGTCAGCTGTAAGAACCGCGAACTTGTCGGAAAACTTGTCATGAAAAATGATCAGCAGTGGCCGTTGTTTTACCAGGGGTTTAGCCGTGATAGCAGATGTGATGTACCGCCGAAAATAAGATATCCGTGCTGTTTATCTTTGCTTCAATGTGCACCAGCGACTGTTTGTCCCTTCAAGTTCAAGGGGAGGGGGCTATCAGTAAACAAGTGATAAAAAACCCCATCTCTGGCAGCACATACAGAATCGATCATTCAAACAGTAGACCCTGTCTGTGGCCCATATTTTGCTTGCAAGCCTTGTAGAAGTATTCATGCAACCGCGTGAGAACACAGTGATACAACGCCTGTCAAGCAAACACAGCGTCTTGGCATCAACGGAACTGAACAGAATGGCTCAAGCCAACGTCAAGTAGTGTGGTGTATGCCTAAACGATCCCAAAAATAGATTTTTGGCCTAGATTGACGAGGGACTATCCTGATGCCGGCACGGTTGACCATACCGTCGACACACACCCCCCTAGTCACAAAAAAAGCTAATGCGGCTTGGGAGAACGTCAGCGACAACGGTATGAATATTCTGTGGATGATCGAGGGCGTCTGAAGGTGATGATACCGCAGGCTGAGAACGTAGCATTTCGATGAAAAATTAGCGTACCTTTCAAAACGAATCTGACCCGTAGTGGTGGATCAGCAACCTTATGAGTAGTGCATTAAGTATCGCGATATCTCGAATGTCGTAGCACCTGAAACTTGAGGCGGGCTGGTGTAGCATATCCAGTTGCCTGGAAACTGGAGCTGAGCTCTAGGTGAGTCTCTCGCAAAACCAAATTTGTTTGCAAATGAGTGTATTTCGCTCGGAACACACGTTATGCGTCAAACGTCGACTAGTATTTTCGGGAATCGCGTTTAATAGCCCTTCGAACCTGAATCCAGTCGGTCAACCAATCAAATCATAGTCTATGTGGAAACACAGAGGTATTTGGTTCCGGCAACCAGCTAGACAATACCCAAAACATATCTGTCTATTTCCCTGAACAGTTGAGTGATGTTTTTCAAATTGGTAAATTGGAAAAGTGCACGGTCGTGGTCGAAAGACAACCGAAAAAAAATACCCAGACTACACAGGAGCGATTAGAAGCCATCGAACGCGCGCCAGATTCGTGCGTCAAAAAAGGTCAGAGCGAGCAGGGTTGATCGGGGCAGCAATATGAAAATGTGCACATCTGTCTGGGCGAAGTGTCAATCAACGAACAAAGAACGATCGGTGGTATAGATTGTCGAAAGAATGTTTCCAAATAGAAAAGAATGAAATGAATGGGAACTATGGTTCCCAAGAATAGCATAAACACGTATCATCACCACGGGATGGAGGGCACTGACGGTTCTTCATCCTGATGCGTTCAAAACAAGGGACTGTCTGCTATACACTGGAGCTGGTGAACTCTTTCAAATTTATTTTGTTTCAAAACGGTCATTTGGATCACAGGTGTTTGAATAACAAGAATTCCCCTCGTTTAGATGTAATGCACTATTCATAAGGTTGCTGAAAACCCTTCGGGCAGCACATGACCGGTTTCGTCCTTCTTGGGGCTCATCAGGTAGGCGCCGTCGAATATGGTGCCAATTAAAAATGAAGGGACCTGGTGCATCACATTCAGTTGTTTAGGAACACCATAAATGAGAGATTTAGCTGGGCTACAGTCTCCAGTCAAAACCTGATTGCTGTGTGAATTCTCTTGTTGATTATTCTTTAGTGGTATTCAAGAAGCGAACAATTACACATGCAAAAATCGGCGAGAGTTGACTGCTGAAGTTACGAGCCTAAGCCGATCGATGCACAAGTGGGATTCGATGTAGAGGGTGTCAGGACCCAGGACTTATTCAGCGTGCGTTTACACTACACAAAGCGCAGCCGTTGCCCCAAGATGACGGACTCTTCCTACAAGCGTCAACAGAAGAATTTGTGGGAACCAAGCGAAAGGTACTTCATGCAGAGAAGCTTCACCACGGATGAAAAGTACATTGGCAGTGAGCAACTCTCCTCAAAAAGAGACAGAAGTACTGCGATTAGAGTTTTGTTCCATCCCTTAGTTTTTACCGAAAAGTACAACTATTAACAAGTAGACCAAATTGGGAACGTGCGGTGAGTTTCCGGTATGTGGCTTTGCGTCCCCTGTAAAGTTTGATACAATCGCACGGGAATTCATCATCATCACAGTCAGCTGTAAGACCCGCGTACTCCTCTTACAGTGGTTGTAGCTGCCACAGCTTCGTTCACCGATGATTTGGAGAGGTGGGGTAGGAAGCTGCGTTTTGGAAGCGGGCGCTGGTAAACTGGTATGTAAACACAACACTGTCAGCGGACTGCTAGTTGGCGAAAAAGTTAGGAAGGGAGCTGTGCATCGAAAGCAATAGCTTGGATGCACGGCGTCATTGAAATTGGGAACGTGCGGTGAGTTTCCGGTATGTGGCTTTGCGTCCCCTGTAAAGTTTGATACAATCGCACGGGAATTCATCATCATCACAGTCAGCTGTAAGACCCGCGTACTCCTCTTACAGTGGTTGTAGCTGCCACAGCTTCGTTCACCGATGATTTGGAGAGGTGGGGTAGGAAGCTGCGTTTTGGAAGCGGGCGCTGGTAAACTGGTATGTAAACACAACACTGTCAGCGGATTGCTAGGTGGGGAAAAAGTTAGGAAGGGAGCTGTGCATCGAAAGCAATAGCTTGGATGCATGAGCGTCATTGAGGGCGCGACTGGTCCATGTCTGACAATGTCTCTAACCGCTGATATGACCCTCTCGGGGTCCCAACTAGGAAGACGTCAGTGGCCAGTGCACCTGAGTTTGTGGGATAATGACTTTTACACTTCGCTACGAAGTCATTGTTTGACAGCCTATAAGTCGTTTCAACCTCTCACGTGCTTGTGCGAAAAGAACCCTTCGAGGAATTCGGTCGACTGGCATACGCAACACGTGGCCAAGCCAATTCAACCTATGCAGGGTGATCAGTTCACCTATCGAGGGCGAGTTATTTCATCCGAATACCATTCGACGTACTTCAGCATTGCTGATCCAGTGTTCCCACCAGACTCCGGCAATGCTTTGAAGACATCGATGGTCAAACACTGCAAGTCTTTTGAGGTTTTCGGTGCGAGGCAGTCAAGTTACTGATCATCATAGGAACAGAACGTCCCAAGAGCAACAAAAAAAAAACTAAAAAGCCTACTCCAAGGATTTTCTCGCACAAATTAGCACCCAATGAGTCCCAGTAATATACATAAATCAAAAGCATAGACTCTCGACCAATATAGTTTTCAAACATTTGTCACGTTATGCGGTATTGAATCTTGTTTGTCTTGTAGCTATCATCCATCAAACAGTTTTGAAGACCCTTGCGTCACACACTCGTCTTATGGCTCCCGTCCTTCTGACGGGGTTGTCCTTGTAGAGAGGTACTCCAGACTGCCTCTTACTTGTATTAGAGAATCAGAATGACACAAAGCAGAGCCATGAATTCCTATCAACAGGGGATGATCGACACCAACGAGTTGAATGGAAGGGATTGGCACGATGATGGTAGATCGAGAATAACACCATAAACGAGAGAACAATCGACTTCTGTTGGATTAGAAAACTAAAATGTCTGAAATCCAAAATTTCATTCGCCAGACAAAATAAAGTGTGGGGAGCAAAACCTATCTATCTACCAATGGAGACACGCGACAAACCGCAAGGCCAAAAGACAGCAACAAAGCAACTCCCACACAAGACAGTGCGGAGGACAGATTGTTGTGGAAGATTAAGTCACGCGGCGGACCGTGTGTTTCACCCTCATGGATGGTGAGTGAGATGACAACAAAAGCAACGAGATAAAGAAAGCCAACAGCATGTGTAGTAGGCAGGCGTGGAGGTCAGGGGAACCACTGTTGGCTATATATACATATATATGTATTCCGGAAGTGTTAAATACCGTAACACATTCAGAAGACAGTGTGAAAAGCGTAAAAACACGTGTAAGTTTCAAATGAAGCGTACCCACGAAGGGATCGTTAGTCGAAACTGGAGGGAATATACGAGATATCTTGGACGATTGAAGGCTTCCAACGCAAACTTAGCACGCTGAAATGGCGTGAATTCTACCTTTGAGACACATTGACCTGATTGAAAAATCCTGGATGGGAAGAAACCAGAGCAAGTCAAAGAGATGCCCTGACCACTATCTGATAGAGATCGCGGACACGACTAGCGTTTTGAAGGCATTTCAGTCATTTCAGGGTGAGTAGTGCGCCATGTAGGGTAGTGCGGGTCTCGGAATAACTTTATATATTTTTTTTTCAAAAAAAAACAGGAAAATACGGTGGGGTAGGGCAGAAATACGGTTCACTCACGGATGGAAAACAACTAACGGACTTTATTTCTGAGGCACCCTTTGGGATGGCACTGTAGTCAGCCAATCGGACGGAGGCAGATTGAAATACAACATTCATGGAGATGAAAACCAAAGGAAGATGCGCTTTTGACGTGGAATGACGTATTGAAATAGTCAAGTAATTAGTCAGGAGGCACCAGTACTAAATCTAACCTCTGCCGGCCCTAATCAATTCTAGAGGTCGGGGTAGCTCAGTGATTAGGACACGAGCTTACTCACCAGAAAGTTGGTGGTTCGAACCCAACCTCTGCGTGTCCAACAGCTCCCGTCTAGGCTTGGTAATCTGGCAGTATCTGAGCTCCGGTGAATTATTCGAGTGGTATGTCAGCTATACACCGAAAAGTCTGAATTACAGGGCTCTCGCCCACGTAGACCAAGAGAACATTGGGAATTCATGAACGAGCCAGTGAAGGAAAACAATCGATCGAAATCGGGTGGCGCTTTGTCCCTCTTGAATTCGGATGCGTCGGTCTATCGTCGCTAATCCCGGAGTATTTGTGACCTGACGGTCGTTGTTTGAGCTTCATCTCATGAGTGCACAAAAATTCCTCAGTACTTGTGACATGTGGAATATGGTAGTTTCAGTTTTCCTCAGTAAAATCAACAAAGTTGTCTCATCGACTAGATCAGATCTGATCCACAAAAAAACTATTCACTGACTAAACAGGAACAATCGAATTCGCCGAGCAAAAAACACCCGCGTGACCGAAAAATTTCAAGTTATAAACAAAACGGGTGGAATTACGTATTTCCAGAACCCGTAAATCCGAATATCGTGAATAAATCCCTTTTTGGCAGTTCTGGTGCTATCCGTTTCCTCGAAATGATTTGAAAGAAATCACTAATTAAATGGGTCCTAACTTACGGGACAGTGCTCTTCAATTCGTGAAATAATTGAGAGAGTTTGATTGGATCAAACCACAATTTTTTTCAGACTACCGTT